CTTCGAGTTAAAAAGTATGCAGAGTCAGTTTTATCGTATCGCACTGCATCTTATCGGCTTTATCGTATCGTATTTTATCACATCTAATTTCCTCAGTTTCATCGTATCTCATTGCATCTTATCGACCTTATCGAACGTTATCGTATCGTATTTTATCACATCTAATTTCCAATTTCTAATTTGTCACTACTTCAACTCAAAAACAGACCGAAGAGTATTGTGGTTATGCAGTTTTTGACCAACACCACGTGGCACTGTGCACGTGTATGTCTTAAAATGGTGGTTAAATACTTGTAGAATGTCAATATATCTCTTTTGGCATAGTAGAGTGTTGAAAATAGTCCGATATCATGCCATTGCGATATGAAAAACCTTAACYTTTTCACTACTTTTCTCAACTTTTACGATTTTCAGAAAAACTAAAAACATCGGCATCAAAAATCACAATGAAGTTGTATGTATGTGCAGTATATACATAAGTTACTCTTAGATACCCTCGCTAATACTCTGGAGAATTCTCTGGTGATCGGTACAGAGTGCCTGTACCGGTATAGCTTAATGTATTATACCTGATCGAGAGGATTGTGTGAGATCCTTCTTTCACACCCGACTCAATCAGARCACACCTACGGGTGAGCGTGTGTGCCTGCACAACAWGTGCTTCATCTAATTGTGYGTTTACATGTAAGTCACTTTCGCTTGAAGCTGTCATCGTCTAACTGGGAAACCGATTGTTCCGTACCTTTAGCTTGTAATATYGAAGGAAATTCCACCYGTAATTACATTGAATATATATTGTATCTACTGCGGTCCGTTTCCCACAAAAACACTTTTCATTCTTCCTATGGAATACYCCTATAGATACTTACTTTAGCTCTCGGCTTGGGATTCCTGCGTYGAGGCGTCCAACAAAGCGTCAATATTTGCAAGGTAATCCACATGCTTATCACGGGAGAAAACGACTCTAGGGGAGACATTTAGATGGTGGTAACTGGGCAAAAGTAACCTGGAAACAAAATAATTCAACTGTACTTATTACAAAAATCCAAACAAATCCGTGTATTACACGTTGAATTAGTACGCTAAACTTTACCAACTATCGAATACTAGTACCCCGCCACTCAAACCCTCTACCTGTAGCCACGACTAATAAAGGATAAGGGTAAGAGACACAGGAAGAGCGATGACACTACTAATGGTCTAATTTGTGATAGACCACTCGGGAAAATCAATCTCATTAATAAATTATTTTAAGGATATTCCAATTTGTTTTCATTATTTGACCGATTAGTATGTTTATACTAAAACAATTAGACCTCTCGGCGTCGTGGACTACGAGCTAATAGCCCATTCGGCCTCGCGGACTCGGCCTCATGGGCTATTAGCTCGTAGTCCACTCGACCTCGAGAGGCCGAATGGGCTATTAGATCGTAGTCCATACTAATCGGTCAAATAATGAAAAAAATTGAGATATCCTTAAAATGATTTATAATTTATTTATTTTGATTTTCCCGCGAGTGGTCTATCACAAATTAGACTATTAGTAGAGTAGCCAATCACAGCGCAGTATGAGTGATCGACCATTAGTATGTTTATACTAATAGCTCTTAGTCCACTCGACCTCGAGGTCTAATTGTTAATTAGTGTTAAGAATTTGGACAGAAAAAATGGTAATACTTATTATAATTGTATATTTAAGTGAAATAAAAAACGCTGAATCCTCCCTCTCCCATGAATCGTCAGTATCTCTGAAGAAAAGTTTTATAGTTCTTAGAAACTATGTCCATGTGTTTATAGTCAAGTTTTTTCTTAACATACGAAAAATGATAATTATTTAAACACTGGTTATGATAAAAATAAGCAGAAAACGATTACGGGCTGGCTGTGTAGTAGGGCAATACTCCAGTTTCGAGATTCTATTTGTGCAGCCTTCGCCTCAAAAGTATGTAATATATTCGTTTATTGAGCAAGGATCCTATTGTAATGMAAACACTACAAAGAAGACAGTACAAAGTACTTCTATTGGAATTTTACCAAKAACTTTGAGTTGGAAAGCAAGTGCTCTAACACACTTTTAGCAACAAAAGTTGTCGTAAGAACTCGTTTCATGTACCTTAAAATWTTCTCATTTCTATGAAGCAGTTTAGTTATATGATCCTGGTGTTTTAGATCTTTCTTGTCTGTTAACCAATAGAATGTCGCATGACCCATATCTTGAGCAATTTTGACCTTAAACATAATTCAAATGACCTTCAGTATTATTTAGTTGTAATTCAAGCATCTCTTGTATTTCCAAGAAAAGATAATGAACAAATAAGCAACCACAAAAACCCAACAAGAGAAGGGAGAAGAAAGAAAGTTATAAGTCATAAATCCTAAGAAAAACAAAAGAGAGAACACAGTAAATTGGACAATGAATGGAAATGAATGGATAAAAATGAAAAAAATTCAAAGAGGAATGACACTGATGGAATAAAAGAAGAGAACAATAAAAAATGAGCAAATGAATGAGCAATGAATGACTAATTACATTGGTTATTTGAATGTTGCAGTCTAAGAGTTGCTGATCCACATCATTGCTTTCTAGTAGACTGGTCATTGCTTGCTGCAGTGTTACAGCTAAGGCATTCCTTCTTGCACTATTGGATGTTGATATGATTCTATCATCATCATGATCTGATGGATCCAGCCTGAATGTTTGGAGTTTACTTTGTGCCTTGAAAAGACAATAAAACAATAGTAGACAATAGTAGAATATACTGTCAGTGTATTTTACACTTATATTTAATATAATAATACTAGACTATATTGAGTGTTCATGCCATAATTGATAGTAATCAAATGTCAGCTAAGCTAGCTTTAATGCTTGAAGAGTTTTTCAATAACTTTAAGACAATGAATGTGGAATAGTCCATTTCCTTGCAAATCAAATGGTCTCAAAAATACACAGGAAGTGTGGATCTCTGATTGCCCAGTCAAACCTCTCAGCCCCAGAACGATGTAAGAACCTGAACTTCACAAAGTCGTTTTCATCTACCTTCAATGGTCGACCTAAGTAGAACTTATTGATAAAATCCACAGAAAAGTACTTGCCACACATAGATTGTGCTGGGGGTGGCAACGGATGAAGCATTTCTTCATGCATAACTGGTCCTCCCACACACACACACAATATACAATTTTTTTTAGGTCTGATTCCATGTATTTCAGAAAGTGTAATCCGTAACATATTATGTAATGTCCGTAACACAATACTTTCAGAAATTACTAGGTTAAAAATGTAAAGAGCTGTAGAGTTCAATAATCTTCCAAAACTTCTACTCATAGTCCATCAAAACAAAGTAGTCATTGACTTGAGAACCGATTGAATTCAGAGGAATTGGAACTTGAAATCATAAAATTTGAACAGTGGTTGTTTTAGCTGTAATGTCCGTAACACAATTTGAATAATATTTTAGATATCTGTTAGAGTCTTGTCATTTTTTTTCTTCTATGAATTGAAAGAGACATGCCCTAGGTACAATCTAGCAAATAGAGCAAAACATTATCATTGTTTGTCTTGAAGAGCACAAAGAACAAATGGTGGAATGACCCTTTATATTTACAATGTAGGCTAAACATTTTTTCTTATTTTGTGGAGTTGTTGTAAAGCGTAATGTAGAAACTGCTGAAGTTTTGTTAACAACACATTTTATCCCAAACATTTAAGATTTTGCCTAGGTTGCACAAAGTTGGGTTATAACTGGGTATAACTTTCATATCTTTCTTTATGGCGTATTATTTTCTGTGCGAAATGACTACTCATGGATATAAGAATAGTCTCCTTCACGGTTACCAGCGCCATCTTGAAAGGTAGCCGTGCCTTAACATCGAAGCGAGACAACCGTTGAGCGTGCAATGATAGAAACCTGTGAATAATTGTCTGTAGGTGTGAAAGAAGGTTTCTATCATTGCACGCTCAACGGTTGTCTCGCTTCGATGCAAAGGCACGGCTACCTTTCAAGATGGCGCAGGTAACCGTGAAGGAGACTATTGTGCGAACAGTTCGAAACTTGGGGCGAAACGACTTGGGCGAACAGTCTTTTGTGAGAAATAGCCAGATACCAACCAATCACACTCACCTCCTCTTGAACTTTTTCAGCCCTGCTTGAACAAGAGTAAAACAGGTGAGATATACATAGAAATATAAGAAAAAACAAATGTTTATCGTCCCCTCCCGCTTTAATATTTTTTTTATATTTTTTATTTAGAAAATTGGCACTGAACTAAAACCAACAGGCATTATCTTTACTTTGTAACCAGTCCCTCTCATACCTTCTCCATGTGTCTTTCCCAAAATGATTGTCAAAAACATAKGCTGCCCAACTACGGCTTGAGAGAAGAAAAGAACAAGCTGTTCATGCTTTTTTTTATCGACGAGAGTTCTTATGAAAGAGGTGAGTCACAGTCTAGTATCCTGCGAGTATCCCATGAGGCATTGGGTTGTGAAGTAATACCACAGGTAATCCACAAATTACATACATGTAGTGCGTGTGCCAATATTATATGAGCCTCAGCTCATACTTTTCTTTTCATTCAAATCATAAGAGACCTTAAACAATTAAATTATCATCTCTTTTGTTGAGGTGAAGTCGATCTTGTTATGGAGGACTGGGACTGGGAGGACCACATCCCTTTTATAAATTTGTAAGATATGGATTGAGCCAGTGATTGTTTTGCGTTTAAAATATATGGCTATAGCCAATTGTAAAAGTCTACAGAGAGTCATTTACGTTTATGTGCCCAGTTGCCATTAAACATAAGCTTAACTTAACTTAAGCTTACGTATCGTCTTAAAAATTATAAAAGCAACAAAAAATCGACAACAAAAATTAACTCGCCCGCACGGTTTTTTCAAGAAATCCGGACGATAAACATTTATTCTTCTTTTTACTTTGTCTTAAAGCTACTTGTTAAGCCATAGTTAACTATTGTTAAGCTTACTACCTGAACTTTTTCTTCTTTCTTGTTTGATTTGACAAATTAAATTTATCGCCTTTAAGTCTCTCTTCTGATAAATGGATTAAGCACTTTTGTGCTACATACAGGTTTACACGCCCAATTCCACCAAACACTGCAGTATTAACAGCAATGTGACGCCCAGAAGTTGCGGAACGACGGAAGGTAAAAACTAGTCTTSCCAAAGCCGCCATTTTGAATTTTCACGGACACAGGCAATCCAAACACCACAAGATGTTTTGGACAACAAAAGTCAGATCATAGTTAATAGAATTATAATATTCTCTATTAACTATGGTCAGATCAAAAGTATTAACATTTTTTTTCTGATTTACTTGTTTTGAACATGATTTCTTTTATGATATCAACAAAATGTGTAGCTAGAAATCTAGTCATGTGTGGGATTCCTGTGGAAAAGCAGCCAGGCCAGTCGACATGGCGGACGTGAAGAGAAAAAAAATCGTTTTCCCTCCACCTGCGAAAAAACAGAAAACAGGATTGCGTAAATTCTCTAAACTACCAGTAGAAATTTGTGAAAATCATGACGCTGTTCTGTATCCAATACATCGAGCTATAGCATCAAAACATCTGCCTTTTCATGGAATAACATTAGTCCACTTCGACTCCCATCCGGACCTCACAATTCCCGCCAAAATGACGGCCGATTGGGTGTTTGATACAGATAAATTGTCAGAGGCAATAAGTATCGCTGATTGGATACTACCTGCAGTGTATGCTGGACATATTAATCGCGTTGTTTGGGTTAAACCTGATTGGGCCGATCAGATTGAAGGAGAGGAGAAAACCTTCTACATTGGGAAACACAAAGAAACGGGATATTTAAGGTAAGGGGATGGAAGAGAATCCCTTTAAGTAATTATCCCGGGGGGGTTACTCCCCTATATTCGTTATACGGGGACGTGCCGCCAACCAGGGTATCGTTTTAAGCGATTTTACTCTGGAACAGGGTATAGTTTTCAGTGATTTCACTCTGGAACAGGGTCAGGGTTTTGAGGTCCCAGCGGCACACCCCCACCCAAGTTTCGCGGGAGTACCCCTCCCCCCCCGGGGTAATTCTGCCATATCTAATATTCTGGTTGAATTGTAATGCACAAAGAAATGAAGCAAGAGGCTCAAGAAAGTTGTTATCTAGTTGTTTCCTTGCCTTCAATTCTTTTTTTGAGGACTTTGTGATATTGACCCATTTGTAACATTACTAAATGTCAAGTTTCTTGGGAATCCCCTTTTAATGATTGAATGAAAATGGAATACATTCTTGAAAATATTTTAGTCATGTGTTTCAATCAATTTTATGAACAGGGTCACATGCTGCGATAACTACTTTGTTGAAGAACTACTTTATGCACCTCTGGACCAGCTAGAAAATACCAAGGAATTAAATGTTAAAATCTTTACTTTAAATTGTTCATCAAAGCCATCCAAAACCTCTGATGATGCTGCTAAAAATATTCAAGATTSTAAGGAAATCATTCCTTGTGCTCATATAGCAAGACAGAAATTGTTGGATGAGGAAGTGGGATTATTCAAAGATATGAATTTTATAGTAGACAAAATGAAGTCATCATTTGTTAAGTGCGTAGAGCCATTGGTTAGTCTGATATCATCATTGTTAAAAGAAAATCAACCATATATTCTTGATGTTGATATGGACTTCTTTTCAACAAAGAATCCTTTTAAGGAGCTCTTCACTGAGGTAATGCTTGAATGGAGATATTGATCCTTTCTGCATACAGCTGTAGTTTGACATCATTGATTATGTCATGGCAYAATGAGATCATTTCATTAGTGTTTCAAAAATCAGTCATATTGCAGCCATGATCGTTATTWAAACCAATGTTCGTTAGACAATTAGTTCTTGATCTGTGTAGTGTTTTGTCCTTGCCATTATCCATGTTATTGCATTGTTGTAGTTTTCTCAGCAATTATGATTATTGTTACAATGGTAAAGATGATGATAGCAATTAATGATTAACTAATGATTTAGTAATTAGTAATTAATAATGACATTGGTTGCAGGGTTTTCTGACTGTGAGGACCATACCAGTATCCATGTATTTTGTCACTGCTGTAGACTTAATCTTAGCAATAATTATTATGACAATGGTAAAGATGATGACTGCAGTAATATATGATTAATTAATAATTTAATATTTATTTATCAATGATRGTATTTGATAGCAATGAATATTTAGCCTGTTTCTGATATCAATTCTATGATAATGTTATTTTAATATAATTTAATAACCATGGATGTATTAATATTAAACAGGAAGAATTTCAGTGCCTTGCAGAAGTATACAAATTCCAATCTCCACAGACTGACAGTGAGAAAGTAAGTCTCCTATATGCTTTATAAGTAATGTGTGATGCATCTAATTGCAAAAACCTTGTCATAGAAAAAAAAAAATATTTTTAAGTCTGTAATTTAGTAAATAGGAATTTATAATACAATATAAGGACAAAGAAGGATCATTATCTTTTAATAACAAGAAAATTTAAAATGTTCTATTTCTCCATGACAATGTTGCAATTATGTGCATATATAGGCAATCCATTAGCATTATTTGGTTGTAAAGACATAAAGACAACAACAAAATCATTAAATCTATCTATCCATATATAACCTTATTTTTTTGTGCCAAGAACAAGCAACTTAAGTTTGCAAAACGTCACTAAAATTTCAACATGAACATTTATTTGCTATTTATCTGGAGTTTTACATTGGAAAACTTCACACAGAGATATTACATTTTGATSCAAATGATTCTGTTCTTGTCCTTATATTAACAACTGTGTAAAAAGATAAATTTAACACCGTAAAAAAGTATGTGAAATAACTTACTGATGTTTCGGACGTTAATCCTTCGTCGGAGTAAAAGTGACTTTGACTTTTACACTGACGAAGGATTAACGTCCGAAACGTCAGTAAGTTATTTCACATACTTTTTTTACGGTGTTAAATTTATCTTTTTACACAACTGTTTCTTYAGAAACACCGACGCAGCTCACACCAGTTTACCGCTAGTTCCCACCATCTTATATTAACTGAACAGCGCTTATGGGATAATTTGCTGTATGTTGCTAGTTGATCAAACTGCAATTCAAAGGAGTGCTGATGTTGAGTTTTAACTCGAAGATTGCGAAGCAATCGAAGAGTTATTGGAGGGGGACAAATCTGTCACTCAGTCASTCAGTCACTCACTTTCCTGTAAACTTGAGCCTGCATTACTTATGTTCAAAACTATTAATTTATTCTCCTTGTTCTCTATTAATTTACTCATTAATTTATCGTTACCGRGTTCCCTGTTATACATTTGATTGAATTTATTTATTTTTTGGCAAAGAAAGAAATTTAAAGAAATGTTAGCTCCTCTGAGTCTTGAATCTCAGACCTCTGAATTAGAAATTGAAGCCTCTTCCACTTGGTCACATGTACCAATGTTATATAATTGCAGTTAGACTTGTCTTTGAAGTGCTCGCTCCTGGTTGTCAAGTTAAAATARTTAGATTTTAACGAAAAAGAAAATTGTATTCATAAATTGTTAACTTAAAATTATATTTCTAAAGTAAATTATAATTTGATTCGCCTTACCGTTCAGTCACAAAGGTCGAAGCAAGCAACGAAGACTGGTCGATCCTCCAAATTCGTTTGGAAAATGATTTTATGAAGGTGCTGGCCCATGCTTATCGNGCAGTGATTTACATAGTTTTGGCTAGACTGGGATTTATCTTGATTGCCGGCAATCGCCCGTGTTTATCCAGAACCAAAGTTAAATTAATAAAATTTTAATAAAAAAAACTATATATTCATAAATCGTTTACTTAAAATTCTATTTGTTAAGTAATTATTATAATTCAACTCATCGTGAGCATTGTTCTGTATGCTTCTACACAATCAATCTTCGAGATGTGTTGGCATTGGTGGCTTGATTAACCATAAAAGCATCTTTTGTAGGAGCTTAACAAGTGTATTTTAGAGAGATCATCTCAGCTGGAGTCAATAGAGTCAACAATAAAGTATGCAGAGAATCTCGAAAAGGTACCTGACAGTACCCCAGACAGTGAATCAAAAGTAAATCAACAACTGCTTCAGGTGATACAGGATATCAGATCATCCAGTGATGGAGAAAAACCTGATTGTGAATTGGTAATGTAAACAGTGACAAAMACCTGTTAACATCCTTTCTGATGTTATTATCATGATGTTGTTGTCCTTAGTTTGAAACAGGGGTGCACCATTAGAAAAGTGAAATGTAAAACAAACACTAAAAGGCTTTGCAATTAAAAAAGCATGCATGATATTAAGTAAAAAAAAATGTCCATGCATAAAAGTCTCCTCCCTCCCTCCCTTATTTTTCTAATAGCTACTCCCTGACTAGCATCACAGACTCAGACAAGAGAAATGCCAGGCGAGTTTCTCTGAGCAGTTTGTGTGCACCAATTTTTGCTGATCAGCAAAATGCTGATCAAAGTGCCTCGTGTGGTATGTCCCTTATGCATTTTCCTATCATGTGCAGCAGGCTTAAAGGTCTGTGTGTTTCTTTCTTTTTTTGCTTTTGAAAATTGGATTGCTCTCTAATGAGAAATTGCAGAGAGATGGAATGAATGAAATAAGAATAAGAAAATTCAAGTACATATTTGTATGATTGATGCTTGAGAACAGATTTATTGTCTTGTCCATATTATATAGATACATATCTCACATGTTTTATTTTAATTTTTTTTAAGTTTCTTTATTGTCCCATTCCACCAAAGTTATCCCAAGACATGATATCACAAGGAATATAGTCTTTTTAATGCTATAATACATTATATACATTCACAGATCCATTCAGCAGGTATGACAATAGACCTCCCACATCATATCAGTACCAAACAAGAGATTGACAATCTACTAAACATGCTTTACTTCACAATGTTCTCACTTCCAAAACCAACACTGGTTACCATGGCAAGATCAACATATGATGAGTACACACCACCACATCAGATAGACTATATACAAAACTCTCTTGTAAAGATACTTGGTGTTATGTATGGACAAGACTTCATTGATGTTCACTTAGATTATTAACAATTATTTCTGAACCAATGTAAATGTGAATATTAATATTAAGGAAAATTTCTATATCGATGCAAATGTTAATGGCAATGTGTTTGGTCAGGCTTTCAAACTTAAGAGAACATTTGAAGTGAATTTTCTATGTTGTGTACTCTTATCAAACTTAGAATGAGGTCAGAAATGAACAAATCTCAAGTGGACTGGAACTACCAGCACAGCTTGTTTCTCTGATGTCAGTCTCTGTTTGATGATAGTACACACCATAAAAATTCATTTTGAATAGTTAAACCAATGTGCTATGGATGATTTATAGTAAGTTTTATTAGATTGATTTTTTTTATTGTAAAGATGCTGTTGCTCTGCAGAATTTCCCTCAGAAATTAATGGCGTTGTGAAATAAACCGGTGGGGAAATTGCATATGTGCWGTTTACCAAGGKTTTTTTTTCTTCTTTTTTCACTATTCGCAATACAGTGTTTTATTCTCGCCTCTAGAACAGATTTCTTAGAATTTCTTGGGATGCGCACTCTACGATCGCATGTGAATTCTCCCAGAGCTATAGTGATACAGTTTGCAAAGAACAAACTTGTACCGTGTSACAGTGYCTTACTCTCAAAATTGCAAAACTGRCCTTTAATTTTAAGGATTCCGTGTGTTCGTTGCATAATAATAATACCGTACCAATAACATAAACTGTACAATCCAAAAATTACCTAGTATGTATATTCTTGAAAGTAGAGGTTAATATATGGATGTTAGGACACTTGATATTTACAAGAACGAGTGATGGAAAGCATAAAGTATCCAGGACAAAACGCGGGGTAGAAATCAGAGTCAAAAAAATTTAAGAATCATAATAATCAAAAGGTATATTTTCGTTTGACTCTGGAATCCTCACTGCACTGTTAACAAAAAAGCTGTTAGGTAATATATACAATATGAGCGGGCGATCTGTAAGTAATATATACAATATGATCAGATGGCGATCTGTAAGTAATATGTACAATATGAGCGGGCGATCTGTGGATTTACATCTTCATGGGCTTCATGGGTTATGCAGGGTCTGAATGGGGGGGTCTAAATGTCGGTTGTCAGTTAAAATTTCAAGCATTTGTCGGTAGTCGGTTAGTTAAAAACGTTGATAAATATTAAGTTTGAAAAAATCTAATACAGTACGTTATGTCAACAGAATCCTTTCTAAGATGCCAACAGTTGTATCCTTGAGTCTTGATTGGTCGATTGGATGTTAGTGGCTAATCAAAACTTCAAGAAGCCAATCCGAAGCAAAATTTATTTTTCCGCGGAAAACTTCGAATGTAGAAGCTTATTTCTTTGAATATTGCCTAAAAATATCTATTTTTAGGAAAATGTCGCCAGTCAGTAAATATGTTGTCGGTAGTCTGTTGTTATTTYGTCCATTTGTCGCTAGTCGGTTAACCCCAATCAGACCCTGGTTATGATTTCTATTGTCTTTTGCCTTATGAACATATAGTATCATGTRGAAACCTTTGAATAATAGASCAATCCCGCATTCGCTTGGATGAACACAAAACAATCACTCCTTTCGAGGCTGGACAAAAGGTAAAACTCYAGCCTCGAAATGAAGYCATTGTTCCTTGTTCATCCAAGCGAATGCGGGAGTGGTCTATTCTCTCTTGGTTTGCAGTCGTAAAAGAAGTGCACATTAACTCTGCCCGTACTTTGGRGCTATAATGAAAATAACCTATTCCTTCTAGATATTTACAAATAGCTATAGAAACTTATTCTTGGATTAAATATATATGTGCATGGTATGTTTACGCATTGGTAGAAAACTCCGGTGACTCTGGACGATTCGCTTCCAYGTTTAGGTTGTTAGTAGGGATCTTTGATTGGCCCTCTGATGTCGATGTCGTGGCTTGGTTTCGAGATGGAGCGACCACGGCACTTCCATCACGTATWACATTACTTCTGCAGCATCTCGAGGAAGTAATAACACTCATTACGGCAAGGCGCAGATTCTTCAGTCGGAAAGCGTAGATGTACGGATTGAGGAGTGAGTTGATGGTGACCAGTATGAACTGCAAGTCCCTGAACCAATGGATCTGGTCACAGGTACAGGAAGAGCACAAGTTCATAAGGTAGATCATAAGGCAGGACGGGACGTAACACGCTAAGAAAACCGCCAAAACAATYAGGTACGCTTGCGTAACGCGTCTTTCCCACATCATGGATCTTTTCTGCGCACGTWGCATCTCGTTTGCGTTTCCATGCATATTAGTGATTTCCTTCAGCTGTTGTTTGAGAGTCTTRAAGACTTGCACGTACGTAAAGACGAAAATCAGTAAAGTTGAAAGAATTGCGATGTTGGCAAAAACGAACGCGTAGGAGATAAACCCAACCACGAAGAAGATTGACGTACAACAAATGGACATCAACCACACAACAATGGAAGCGACCAGCACGCGCGTGTTACTCACGTTCGCACGGTACCATACTGCGTTAGCGATAGCGAGATATCGATCTACTGTCAAGGCCGCAAGGCTGAGCAGGGATGCAGTGCAGCACAGAAAATAAGCCGTCTGAGAAAGCCACGCCATGTTGATAGGTAGCCCTTGTGCTTCCTGGGAATGTATATAAACCGACAGCGGCTCGACCAAGGCCCCGACAATTAAGTCCGTGATAGCTAAGTTGAGAATAAGCAGGGTGAAAGGTTTCTTCAGATCTTTGAAGGGATCTTTAAGAACAGCAATGATCACCAGTAAATTGGCTGGGACTGTTAAAGTCATAAAGATCGCTGATAAAATCATGTTGGTATAAGATACATCTTGTGGAGCCCGGACTCCCGCGCAGTGACTAGGGCCAAACAGCATAATGGATAGCGATGTGATCGACACTTTTGTGGTGAACTATTTTGAATGAAAAAAGAAATATCTTATAATTCCTAGAATAATTTGTTAATCATTTTATAGTACATTCAACAAAATAATACKTTAATTGTACTCCTYATAAAATTTTGTTTCAATGAATGTACTATAAACAAAAAATCAAACAATTCACGTTCAATAGGCACTCGTAATGTTTAGAAGGTTTTCAAATTACGAAGAACTTTCARAACATTTACTCGTGACTATTAATTCCAAATTGTAACGCTGGGATAAGAAATCCAGAAAAATGTCGAGATTAAAAGTATTTTTCTTATATATGACTGTGTTTATTAGAACATTAGTATAGGAATATCGCACGACCTTGAGTACGGCACTTGAGTACGGTAATAAAAACATACAGTCATACTATATAAGAAAAATACGTTTAATCTCGACATTTTTCTGGATTTCTTATCCCAGCGTTACAATATATATCCACTGAGATAATTGAGAGGTAAATGAGATATTCCGAACTATATCATTTACACTACAATACAAGTTTTTTTGCTCACAGAACTTTTCCATTAATTATTTTAAAATAATGATACCGTTAAATATAAACCTTTAGGAAGTCACGATTTTGGCTTTGAAAAGATAACTTGCGAAAAGTTTTTAGTGAGCCATGTTTTGTTACATACGAAAATCCTCGATACGATAGCACACTGTCAAGTAAGAAACCCTGTCGGCGGCGCGTATTTGTCAGTTATCGTGTCAAATATCAAATTACATGACAAAAGTTTGCACTTTCAAATTCTGATGGAGATGAGCATGTATTGAGGGACGCCAATTACAAATTACGATAAACAAATAAATTTCATTGTTAATTTTAATAAATAACCTACTAACTAATAATGCTAACAAATACAATAGACGTTTAGATTAAAGTATTCTGCTTCAAAATGATGGAGAACATACCATAGTTAATACAGGAGGCTGCCTCCTCTATTAACTATGAGCATACCCAGGTTTTTGACTTAACGAAGTCAAGATATGATTTTTTTTATTTGAGGCACTCGCACTTTACTTATCAATACTCCTAAACCTCGATACTCGGCCCAATACTATTTCTCTTATTTGCAAATGACCCGCCTATTGCAGTTGAGAAGAGCAGTGTCGCAGCATTTGCTGATGACACAAAAGTTTTCCAAGTCATACAATCGCGTAGCAGCATAACAGACCTTCAGTCTGACTTGGACAATCTTGAGTCTTGGGCAAAAGACGCAGGTATGGCATTCAACAACAAGAAGAGCAAGGTAATGCATGTCACGCGGAAGCACAAACCCTTCGAGAGTACTTATTATCTAGACGGCTCACCGCTAGCTTGCACTAAGTCTGAGAAAGACCTTGGTGTATGGATATCAGACGATCTTTCCTGGTCAAGAAAGATATCTGAAGTTTGCTCCAAGGCTAACAGGACACTTGGATTTGTGAGACGTAATTCGAGAACTATTAAGAACACAGCTATTAGAAGATCTATGTACCTAGCCCTCGTACGACCACACCTTGGATATGCAACCCAGATATGGGCCCCGCAGACGAAGGAGCTTACAAGACAAGTTGAACGGATCCAGAGACGGGCCTCTAAGTTTATACTGGGGCTACCGTTCCGCTGTGGACTCTCTTATAAGGACAGACTCATGAAACTAAATTTACTGCCACTAACATACTGGCATGAGTACTTAGATCTAATTTANACGCTCGAAAAGAAGACAAGGTACGTATCTGTAATTAACATGTGTAATTACATTTTTAAGCAGTATTTCCTGCTGTATAAATATCTCTAAATGACGTTTTTTTGCCATCTATCTTTCAGGCTGGAAGATGCCGTACAGCGTCAACATCTACTTTCATGGACGATAATAATTAAAAAAATAATTAAAAAAATGTCGGCACTTACTCATTGTTTGTTTTCCCTTTTTTTCGTACAGTTGACTCTCTTTGAACGACCACTCTCGTAAGCGACCATATCCCGTATGCGACCATGCACGTTTTAAATTTGCCGTTATAATTGTTCCCCATATAAACTCTGTAAAAAAAACCTCTCGCGTTAGCGACCATCTCTCGTAAGCGACCACTTTTTCCTGATCCCGAGGTGGTCGCTTACTAGAGAGTTGACTGTACAAACTCTGAAGAGTTCTATTTAGTTGTATATAGTAAATCTTGCATGCGGTACGGCAAATTAAATTGAATTGATACAAATGAAGCATTCAATACCGTCTTGCTTCAGGTCCACTTTTAGTACAAACTAGTACTACTTAGATTTTGTACAGTTGTTGCACGGATTAAGTGCGTTCACTCGACTAGTGGCTTTCGGTTGCGCAATGTCCCTTCGACAATCGCCGTTCGTCGTCCTCCCCGACAACGTTTTTTGAAATAGCTGTATAAAGACAGTGATAATCTGCGTTGTCATGTTAACGAATAGTGGTCAATCCACCGTGAAGCATCAGGTCCCAAAGGATATTATCAATATTATCAATATTATTATTATTATTATTATTGTTATTTTTGCTGTTTTCTGACGGTTAACAACACGAAAATGCGCGCAAACTTTTTAGAGTCGTCACCGTTGTACCGTGAATTATGATCAAAATAAACAGCAAATATTTATTTATTTGCGTTGCTGTAGAATCAAGACACAAGACAAATCTAAAGCTATAATAACCACACAAGACGCAATGAAACGCGTTTGGAGTCTTTATTCTCTGCGCCGCAGCAAAACTATGACAGAAGGCATTGTAAGGCTAAATTGGAAATACTGTAACAATAGCACACCCAGTACGCAAATGAACGTGTTTTCTAACGAGTATATTATAAGAGCCTAAACTAAACATCAAAACAAGACGCACTGAAATGACCCGCAAAAACCTTTCTAGAACTCATTAATAATTCATGAACTATTAGTCCAATTAGTATCGAACTATTGGGTCACATGATGGGCCTTTATATCCCGATAAAGCACTGATGTTTTATTAATCAGTTCTATGTGATATTTAAAAAAACGAGTAGGTGTGTTTTATTTAAGGAATAAAAGACGAAATTCCGTGTTTGATACTCTGATCAAAACACGCGGGATGTAGGGAGAGCACGAGAGAAGCGTAGGAAACCACGACGCGTAGCGGAGTGGTTTCCAGCTTTTCGAGTGCTCTCCCCACATCCCAAGTGTTTTGATCAGAGTATCAAACACGGAATTCCGTTTTTTATTTCTTTTCTAAAATTAAAAGAATAAAATAAATTTTTGACGCGCGCGAGCGTGTTTTGATTACTGTAATCAAACATGGTTTTCGACCAATCACAGCGCGCGTAGTATCCTAAGTATTTTAGAAACCTCATTTAGGCAGTCTTCCCGGACTAAATACTGCTAAGTTAGAGTGCTCGCACTTAAAGCGTGAAACAAATAGTACTAAGTGGTATTTTGGATATAAAAACCACGCGTGATATTTCAAAATTGTTAATCAAAATTTTTACGAGCAAAACATAGATAATTTTATTATATGGCTTGTAAATTTCCTGAATTCTGATTGGCTGACGCGCGGTCCGTCCAGAGACGTATTGGACCGTTGCTATGGCATCAGTTCAACTTCCATATTTTCCGTAAGTTGGATCGAGGGAATCAAGAATCAAGACAACTTTGTTTATCAGATTTGAAACTTTCTTTGCAATAAAAAAAATTCAAACAAAATCCATTTTTTTAATGATCTAAAAGAAAGATGGTTCAATTTCAACTACTCCCGCCTTTTTGTCCGCGCACCAGGGGCGGATCCAGGGGGGTGGATTGGGTGGCTAGCCACCCCCTCTTTTATTTGAAAAAAAAAAAAAGACTTAAAGTTTTGAAAAAAAGAAATTAAATAACAGGATTATTTTATTACGGAAAATATGTATAATTACTTCGAAAAAATATAGAGTGAGAAGAACTGTTTGATATAACTGATGTTTATATACTCATAAATATCTTTCATATAAAATGTTGAGAAGTCCGAAATATTATAGGTGTGCCCGAGATAACGATAAAGAACGACAATTTCAAGAGTCAAATTAATTCTAACGTACTTTAATATTAAATTTTGATGTCAGCCACCCCCCTTTGAAAATCCTGGATCCGCCCCTGAGMACTTGACTTTCCCGCTCTTTTCCGAGTTGACGACGAGTTGACCGTACAGTTGTTTTCAAGTTGTTGTTGTTGTTGTTGTTTTTTTCAAGTTGTTGTTTTTTTTTGTGTTTTTTTTTTTTTTTTGTGTTTTTTTTTTTTCAAGTTGTTTTTTTTTTCAGTTGTTTTCAGTTGTTGTTTTTGTTTTTTTTGTGTGTGTTTTTTTTTTGCCAACGGCATCAATCCAGCTTAGAAATACTCGATAAGTATTCACCACAATTTAAAGATAGCCCAAAAAGGATTATATTGGAAGAAAAACTCAATGTCAAGTTGTAAAAGCTCAAAMGAAGTCAGAACATAAGTCCACAAACTACTCAAAACAAAAGTGAAAAGCCGAAGGGATTCAAACCGGCGTCTTCGAAAGAGAATGAAATCCTCCTCTTATAAAGTCTACTTTGCTCGATTCAATGACTCCCCGGTTGCTGGAAAAGAAAGTTGTAATTCTATATTGGGAGACATCCACTTCGATGATTTTTGAGATGAAGAAACTTAAAAYACAAGAAAATTTTGAATCAATGTGAGCTCGTTCAAAAGCCAAGCTTTCTAAATGAAAACAAGCTAAAAACAGGCGAACTTTCAACTTCGCGGTGCATAATTCTCGTGTATCAAGTTTACTTGGGCAATTTCTAGATGCAATAGCTCCACGGTTGCTGAAAAAGAAAGAAAATTGTAATTCTATATTGAGGGACATCCACTTCRAAAAAGTAAAAAAATCTACACCGGCGGCCGCGAYGATAGAAGAATCAGTGAAAATTTGTGAGTAAACTGTAATGATAWTGTATTTGTGTGTGAAAATAAACTGAATCTATGAAACAAGGAGCCAAAATTCCCG